GAGTTGGGTTTGGTTGAGTTGAGTTGAGTTGGGATTTGGGATTTTGGGGTTTTTGGGGTATTTTTTGGGTTTTTTGGGAATTTTTTGAGATTTTTTGGGATTTTTTTGGGATTGGGATGGATTGAATATGGCGTTGAGTTGGGTTGAGTTGGGTTTGGTTGAGTTGAGTTTGGTTGAGTTGGGTTTGGTTGGGTTTGGTTGAGTTGAGTTTGGTTGGAGTTGGGTTTGGTTGAGTTGAGTTGGGATTTGGGATTTTTGGGATTTTTGGGATTTTTTTGGGTTTTGGGGATTTTTTGGGATTTTTTTGGGAGTGGGATGGGTTCAATATGGCATTGAGTTGGGTTGAGTTGGGATTTGGGATTTTGGGGGATTTTTGGGGTTTTTTGGGGAATTTTTTGCGATTTTTTTTTATTTTTTTGTGATTGGGATGGATTCAATAAGGCTTTGAGTTTGGTTTGCTTGAGTTGAGATTTGGGATTTTTGGGAATTCTGGGGAATTTCAGGAGTTTGGAATGGGATTTTGGGGATTGGGATGGGTTTAAGATGGCATTGAGTTGAACTGGATTTCTATCGTGACATTCCCAATTTTTCCAACATTCCCAAAATTCCCAAAATTCCCATTTTTCCTGATTTTTTCCAGGAATCCAGATGTTCCTCAGTAACTGGGAGCTCTTTGGGTTCCCGATATTCCCAACATTCCCAAAATTCCCATTTCTTTCCAGGAATCCAGATGTTCCTGAGTAACCGGGAGGTGTTTGGGTTTTTGCCGGTTCCTCTCCCTTCCCACAGTTCTTTGCGGGACGAGGTGGAGAATTTCCTGCACGTTCAGCTGGAGATCATGGGTGAGAGATTCCCGGGAAAAATTCCCAAAAATTCCTGAAAATATCCCGAAAAATTCCCCAAAATATCCCCAAAAATATCCCAAAAATCTGAATAGAACGCCAAAAATTTCCCAAAAAAAACCCCAAAAATACTGAAAAAAAATCCTGAAAATGTTCCCAAAAAAATCCTGGAAAAAATTCCCACAAATTCCTGAAAAATCCCCCAAATTATCCCCAAAATAACCCCAAAAAGTTCCCCAAAAAAACATCAAAATTATCACGAAAAAAATCCCCAAAATTCTCAAAAATATCCCAAAAAAATCCTGGAAAAATTCCCGAAATATTCCTGAAATTTTCTAAGAAATTCCTGAAAAGTTCCCAAAAAGTTCCCGAAAAAGACCCAAAAATTTCCCAGGAAATCCCCAAAAATATTTCAAAAAAATCCCAAATAGCCCATGGAATTTTTGGGGTAATTCCCGTGGAATTTTTAGGATCATTCCCATGGAATTTTTGGGATCATTCCATGGAATTTTTAGGGTAATTCCAGCAAATTTTGGGCCAATTCTTTCGGGATTTTTTTTGGATAATTCAGTTGAATTTTTGGGATCATTCCCAGGAATTTTTGGGATAATTCCCAGGAATTTTTTTGGGTAATTCCCATGAGATTTCTGTGGAATTTTTGGGATCATTCCCGTGGAATTTTTGGGATAATTCCCTGGAATTTTTTGGGATCATTCCCATGAATTTTTTGGGATAATTCCCTGGAATTTTCCCGTTTTTTTTCCAGTGAAGCTGCCCCCGGCCGAGCCCTCCCCCAACGTTTGGGTCCCTCCCAAAGTCCTGGACAAGATGGGATTTGATGAGGTGAGACCCCAAAATTCCCACAATTCCCAAAATTCCTGGAAATTTGGGAAAAAATCCCAAAAATTTTCCTTTCCCCTTCGGGATTTGGGGTCTTTTTTTCCCATTTTTCCCTGGATTTTCCCCCCAATTTTCCCTAATTTTTCCCCAGTTTTCCCATTTTCCCTAATTTTTCCTAAATTTTTTTCCCAATTTTTCCAATTTTTCCCAATTTTCCCCAATTTTTCTCATTTTTTCCCTATTTTTCCCCAATTTTTCCCTCAAATTTCCCCCAAATTCCCCCAAATCTCCCCCAAATCCTAAAAAATCCCAATTTTCCCCCAATTTTTTCCAAATTTCCCCATTTTTCCTCCAATTTTCACCCAAAATCCAATTTTC